TTCTAACGTAATTGAGTAATCCAATAGACTTTTTTTTGGCATACAAAGTGCATGCCCATAATGCTAACGATAAACGAATCTACCATCCATTTAGTGGAAGAATAAAAATTCGAAGAATAAAATTATGTGATTTTTTTCGATAAAAGAACACTATGCTGACGACATTTTCGGTATATAGCCAGTCTGTTCTCGATATAACGATCACGCCAAGTCGGCAAGAACACAAAATCAGTGCTGCTGCTATGATACGGTATCAAAACCGCATATTTTTTGGACATTTGATGAAGAAGAATCGTCAAGTTTAGCGACAATGAATTCATAAGTTGGGCGTGAGTGGGCGAATCCAACAGGATCGAGTGCACCATCTTGCATTCTAAATGCATCGACGAAGAAGTTATTTCAATATAGATGGATGCGTCTTGTAATTAGGTTTTTTTTTTGAAGTTTGCGGGTTTGCCTTATTCAGAAGTTAGTTGATTATTCAGAGTGAGTGATGCGTTCTTCGAAATTTTACATGAAACAGATAACCGTATGGCTTTGCAATGAATATATTTTCCAATACTGAGCTGATTCGATTGCATTGTCGAAAGTTCGCCCACACAAACTCCGTGTTGCCCTTGGTTGATATCGTTATCTGTATCGTTAGTTACTATTGTCCTCGCTGATAACATTGTCATAAATCCACTTCAGTTTTGTTCTACATTATTAGCAAGTTTAATCAGTGGACGATTCATTCCAGTTAGATCGCTAATGAATCCCTTTGTTCAAAACAATTCTTTCGAAACATAACACCAGCAGCCACTTCTATCATTGTGCCCCAATCTGATACGTGTGTTCAAGTGAAATTTCCAGAAACATTTCTAAAGCACTTGCCTCATTCCACTCGTTTCGATCATTTCGATGATAGAAAATTTGTTCTCTTCATCAAAAAGCATTTAAGCTCAGCGTTATCTAATTGAATGGTTCTTAATTTCGAGTCATCTTATGACCGAGTGACCAATCTGCTTCCGTCCATTCCAGTGATCTACACTGAACGATCAGCAGTGCCGTCTCGTCTGTACAGTCTCCATCCGAATCTTGCCATCTGTAAAGGCAGTAATCAGCATTGATAGCGACTCTAGCCTTGTCCAACCCCTGCTTCTTAGCTTAATACAATAATCATCGATGTATCTGTGATAATATTTCAAGCGAAAGTCTTAGCTGTTGAACGCTTGTCCTCTAGTGTGCTCGTTAGGCTCATACATTCAATCTTGTGCCAATCATAAAATTCACGATGATTTTATCTGCATTCCAAACATTCGCGCACAATTCGAACGTCAAAATGATTTATTTTCGTTGTTCGCTTCGTCCCCATTTCGTAAACGTCAACAACAATTTTCGAAAGATTTTCTGGAAACGTGTAGGCGTTGAAACGACATCAATTTCTTTCGCAATAAATACACTCGCTTATTGAGGAGCAAGGAGGTGTTCAATAATCTATTTCTCCACCCAACATCATTGAGGATAGCACTTCGAACAAGCTGTGTTTGCTTGTGCTACTTTCACTCATCCGATGTTTTCAGTGTTCTAAATTGATAACAACAATCTAAACGTAGAATCAGAATTGCTTCACTCATACAACCGTCTACCTTCCTGTACGTATGGAATTTGTTCGAGAGCATTCATTCATTTGATTTGCTCCATATCATAACTGAAGTGTTTTGAATGGGAAAATTATGCGTTGATTTCTATTTGTGGATGGATGGATGCGATTATTGATGTGCACATTAAATTTAAATAATATTCATACTTTAGTTCAGTCATTAGCGCGTAGGCTTAATTGCGCTTCATCATTGCAGTTGTCGTCATCGCATTCATTAAGATTGCACTTAAGTTGAATTCAGTTCAACACTTATCACTATCACGAAAAGGAACTAATAACCCTAAATGAACATCGAATATAGCAGAACTTTTTTTCTCAATTACGTCGCCAGCAGCCCTTCGTCAGTTAATAAGAAAGAATACAACTCAATGCAACGACTTAAATCCGTTTCAGCGCTTCAGTTGGATTTGTTGCTTGTTTGCTTGAATGAGTGGAATATCGATGTGAAGGTGTACGTGACTGCTCAAATGCCCAATTACACATTAGCTTGCTGTTGTACTCCTTAAGGGCATATCTCAGCATCCCACATTCTACGCCGATTCAATTACATCAATACCGAAAAGAGTACCTTCTTCAAAACATCTCTGAAGAGATTATATTAGAATGATTTATAACAGATAATTCAAAGTTTACTTCATTTCTGAAAGATCTGCCTCCATTTTAAAATTTTCACTGGGTTTCATATGAATGTGTTAGGCATGTGCGTTCGGTCCGACAAGCATAATATTGTAGCTATAATTTGGTCGAGTGTATTTAGCAACGTTCCGAATGGATTTTTGAATTTCAAATGATCGAAAGGTTCGATGCTCATTGGAACTCTCAGTTGTTAACAGTATATTATGAGAAAAAAAGTATCCTGATGCATGCTGGGGGAAGTTCCAGGAAACAAAAATTAATCTAACCCTTTTTAAAGAGATATCTCCGGATTGTCGGATGCGGATGAGATTGCAGCAGGTAGTGTAGAAAAACACTGTTATGGGTGTTGCTGAATTTCTGACATAATATGTTCAATTCAACACATGCATTCAACCACTGGACATTTTGGGACCGCCGTTCGTTTCGACTCTTCGATCAGCTGTTTCAACAAATCAGTTTTGAATAACAAATACTTCTTCTTTGCCTTAGGAGAGTAATTTTCTAGGAGGTAGCGATTAATCAAAATACACACACACAGCCTTTCGCTTCATAAAGAATTCATCTCGTTTGCGCTAGACGAGAATCTAGACTGACGTTTGCAAGTGAGTGCAATTGAATGTGACTCTAATGCAACTGTTATTTTATTTGCGTTCAAATTCGCGATTTAATTATAGCTGAAGTTTACTGGACTATTCAGTGCGCACTTATCCTATAAATAATGCGATCTATTCGTTTCAACTTGCAAACGCTCAAATAACTACTTCTGAGTCGTCCAGTCGTCTGAGCTGTCCATTGCATCATAGCGAATTTGCTCTCTTATCAATCAAAACTAGAATTTGGTAATCGGAAATTTTTTATTACATTCATAAATTGAATTACCTAGGCGACCTGGATTCATATAAGCCNAAAATTGCATTTCAAACTGTGCATTTGACTTTCTCGCATCGAACCTTCCTGCCTGCGTTACCTCAGCATTTCTAAAGGAGACTTTAAAAGCTGCGCAAGGACTGATGTGATTATGCGAGCATTGAGTTCATATCTGGCAAATTCTTGCCGCTGTTGATAGTCTGAATTCGTCAAACAAAACGTTCAGATTATGATATCATACCAAGGGCATGCTACAATACAATTAAACGCACAAAATATGTAAAATAGTTGAAATGAAATCAGCTAATATTTTTTCGCGATGTTGAGCAACGGCGAACATCATTAATGAAATCAGACGAACGCATGTATTCCAAATCGATTGTGTTTCAAATGACGAAAGCAATAATATGAAATGTTTCAGCGCAGAACTTCAACAAAAATTTCCTTCGTTTCAGCAGCTATGCTTTTATTCCTACTATTGGTCTCACTCTTCTCAGTCGCATCACTTACGCCAGTCTACGACGAACCACCAACCGAAATGGTGAGTAAAGTTACCATTCACAACAATCACCTAGCTTTTTTCGACTGAAAGCAATCAAAACACAGAATTCTATCACTAATGTGAAGAATTCATTTGCTATCGCAAATCTCACCCTAGCTTCTTGTCCTGACTCGGTCGTGTCATTGTCCCTGGTGAGTTGCATTTTTTAGTCGCAATGATCTCAGATGAACCTACAAACTTATCAGAGCAATACAATGCTTTTTAAGCAAATCAAATAGGAGATTCTAATAACCACTGAATTTTCGAGATGAATACTTCTATGATGAAAGCAAAACTGTATTACAACTATAGAATATGGTTTGAATTGTTAGTTGCACTATATGAACTATGAACTGTTGACGTGAACAAGTGATCGTCGATTTTGTGTAAAACACATCTTAAGGTATAATTTGCAATCACGCACAACGCATAAGTCACTAATTATAAACTGAACTGAAAATTATCACTTACTGAAAATATTACCATGTACCATCGCAAGTGTTAGTTACTTGATCAAACTATGATCATTATTCTGTGGAGCGAGCAGGAAAATTTTACGTTGAAACGTTGTTTTGATCTTTTTTCCTATTTATGACCATACTGCTTCCTAATGAAAACAAATTATGGACTAGAAGTTATCTGGCATCACCAAATACCCGAAATAGAAATAGCAATTGTGTTACTAATCAGCAGTTAATGGTTACATTATTTTCTGTCTCATCAGTAGAGTCGGACATGGAACACAAGCGGTTTTCATGCAACACTTTGACAGAACATTATGTTGCACAGCAGGAATAATGATTAATTCTAGCAAGCCTCAGAAACGTTTTCAAATTCGTCATTCATTACTGACAAGTTCGTGTTTTTAACTTTACAGCTGCTCATAAATTCGTCGCATTCGTGTCTGTATGTGTGCGCTTGAAATGACGTGTGATTGGCATCCTGTTCAGTGGCTACAATGTATCCTTTGTATAAGACATTGGAAAAAATTAGGTGAAAGGAATTTGATGAATACAAATTTTTGATGATTAAATGAGACTTTACAGTTCCTATTAAACTTGACTGCTACCCAACTAATATGAATACGTCAAAGTTCGCAAACGCGACGAATACGTTTTATTTGTATCATAGAAATAAAAAAATTCCTGAACTAATTGAATTTTTAATGAGGCAGTTAAAGTGGATTGCTTAAATTTTGAATAGGATGATCGATGGTTCTTTAAAATCTAAAATTGCGCATCGAATCAATTATCAGGAAATGTAAATGATATTATGAAATAATGAGGTTGTTTGTGGTAATGGAACGTTGAGAGCTTCGTAATATGATTTCATCGTAATTAAATGTGCACATATCNTACCACAAATTTTAACGACTAATAATGATCGTGAATAACATGGAAAAGGCAAACTGAAATGAAGATTATTCAGCAAAATTTTCCGAACAAACACATAATCTTAGTCGGTAAGAATTAAAATTTCCACAACACTTGAAGCACGATAGACTACTGTTTGATGCGCTCACTTCTTCAACTCTTCAATTATAAGTAACCAATTTGTTTGCAATTAACTTCGTCAATCGTCTCATGACTGTTGATTGTGGTAAAATAATTTAGCTGAACCAGTTATTTCCAATGCAAAAAATGCCCTCTTACCCAATGCCATGCGATGACGTTACTCTAAAAACACAATTCCATTTTGATGGATTCTAAACATTTTTCAAATTTGTCATTTCTTCCTATAGATTGCATTCAGCTTGCAATCTCATAAATTCCGCAACATTTGTTACCATATTTAGCTTAGTATCCTCAAAAAGGCTACACCTCCTTTCCTTTGACCAAATGTAAACGTCATCGGAAAGGGGCAAACCATCATTAATCATCTATCGTCATTTTCATTTCACAATCTCTGCATAAAATCGAGTTTCATTTTAAAAACCTTCATAAAACGATTCAAAAATCACTAAATTAAATTGCCGGATGGAATTCACCAACTTCAGAAATTTCAGACGAGTAATAATGACGGTGATGAAGATGCATCCGTTTGGTGGTCACCATCCTTCTCGATCTTTCAAAAACGTGACATTGAACACGAACTCTACAATGGACCGTACGATGCATCCAGTCTTTTCCTGTCCCTACCAAGAACCGATCGAAAGCCGACATTCAGCGACCTGTTGAGGCTTCCCATTGAATAATCCCAAATATCACCACCAACGATCCCACTAAATTCGACCGGAAAACCGTCGAGTTCGTCTTAATTGTACAGTGAAAACCAAAGGACTGGGATCAACAACACCAATAACGATAGCAATCCATTGATCAATGAAAATGATCAACTCAAAGTTATCCTTTGCTCTATTGTCATCATAATCATGCTCGTATCGCCTCAGTACTCACAATGCTCGGGCAATGAGTGAAATTTTAGAATTCATGCATGGATAGGTAATTTCAAATAATGAGTTGACGCAATCACCTGTAATTATTTCTGAATGAT